GGTACTTAAGTACACATGTGCGAGGTTTTTGTTTTCTCTTTTTTGTCACCGTGTCTACTTCCAGCTCTATATCGCGATCGATTTGCGGACCCCTCCTGGCGGGGAAATTCCCGGATCAGATACTACGGTAAGATACTGTATCCGACCCAGTGGTGAAGCCTGGCATATCATATACCAACCCAGGTCGATAATAGGGGTTACATATACGCTCCTCTCCCAATGGCATGGCACGGGCCGAGTTAAAGTTAACGTGATACCCGTAGTTAGTGGAACGAACAGAGGACCCTAAACAACCCCCCCGCATGAAGCGGTATTCGAAAGTGTAACCCTCGCACAGTAGTAGCCACTGGCCTTGGAGATTATGGCAAATACCAGGTGGCATCTGCAAGTCATCTTACGGCGCAGAAGATGAAACAATGTCTTGATGAATGAAGTGGAAGTATGCATAGCTCAGCCTAGCTTAGCATCTATATACCACGTAGGTAGAAGCCATCACAAAGTACGCCACTATGCCCGCGTTCCTATGATGGTGATAGAATCGGGCGATAAACTGTCCATGCCCGTGCTGTTATATCGAAAAGGCCGTTCCTGCATGAGGTGACATGAGACGACACTCGTAACGTCTGCGCGTCGATATACCTTCGGTAACGCGGTCGCGTGGCACAGTCTGTGGTCAGCACGGGTTAAGACGGAATGGTCTCAGTAGAAAGATTGCCGTAATCGAGTGGTAATGAAGAAACCGGAAAGACAAAAGCAACGAATCTCACTCGGTCTTCAATCGCAGGATTGTCCAGACGTACGATAGTTTCTTCGCTTCGAGGGAAGCATGATCTCAAAAGGATCGCTCTGCTTCGGCGGTGATTGCCATTGGTGACTGCTTCGGATACCTTCGATAGATGGCTTATAGTATGAAGATGACACAATACGCGTCTACTCCATCTACCCGCCTAATCGCTGCCTACCAGCATATCGAAAGGCTGAGACGAATAAGTAAAACCGACATTCAGCGACTGATCACCAAGGCCATTATTGGCGAAATATAATTTCATCTTCCCGCTGTGCACCAAGCTGGAGGTCACACTTGTTCAACATACATGTTATACATGTCGTACATCCATAACACCCGAAATTCAATGGGGGTTGCCGAGCACCATTAGGAGACAGCCAACTTCGGCGAACTATGGTGTGATGGAACGAAACATACACGTATATAAACATATAGAATGTGTAGGTACACCGGATGAGGCTAGATTGACACGTACGTACTAACCGCCACAAATTCCACAATGAGCTCATGTTCTCGCTTGCTAATTTTAAGTCTTAACTCCCCAGGTGGAGGTATCCCAAGCGTAATGAGCAATGTCGAGTGTTTCCTACGACGGTGTAATGTAGTGTAATGTAATATATTGCAAATATGCACATGATACACAACATAACACAACACACCGCACCGAACCAGACACATGTGATATCAGTCGTATGCCATCATGATGTCATACAAATTACGATCTATATAAAGATATAAACAGTGGCGCTCTTCCTCCCGCATGCTATGGAATCCAACGCAATGCTATGGTATCATTATCATTAAATAGTTCTTCAGTTCACCTCATCCCCTTCTTTCCCGTCCTTCAATCAATCCACCTCGGGCGTACTCTTCATGAATGGAATTATCACGACTCGTCTGTGAAAGGGACAGGCCGTCGCAGTGGGTGTGCCTCGGTATTAAAGACGTACTCGTCTAGGTTTATAAGGTCTGGTGATGAGAATATCAGGTAGAAATACCGCAGAGTCTCGGCCAGCCAGAAACTCTATGCGGGCATTAGCAAGTCAGCCGTCACAAGTGAACGTGTGAGTCTTGAGGGGCGATTTATTCTACTGACCTCCATTGAATCATCCTTCACGGTATCAGTCACCCTAACAGACTGAATCGCCGAAAACGCCAGGTTGGTCTTGGTCGCCTTTCGAATCGCCTGGAACATCTTCCATGCCATTTCCTGATAATCGGTATTGCCCGTCATACGGTACATGAGGAAGACGCTCTCGATAGCCTCGGGCCTGAGGAGATAACGCGCGTCTGGCACGCTACTAAAGCCTGGCTTCAGCTTCGTGTCGCCGACGATCTCCCATTCCTCCTGGTTCCACTCGCACGGGTCCAAGCTCTGGCATTTCAGCAGGTTAAAGGCCTCGGGCATGATGCCAGCCGGCATGGCGTCGTATGTCCACACGCAGCCCTTGGTAAGCTTTTCGCCGATCGCGACGTGCTCCGGAATCTGGAAGATCTTGCCACCCAGCCCGAACATGCCGCCGGCAAAGCATGAGAGATGTTGGGATTGGGCGGTCAAGCTTGGTCCTTGGTCCGTGACCCAGACGTTGCCCGGAAACAAAATGTCCGTTTGGTCGGGCAGCTTAGGCCGAAATAATAGGTTCTCGATGATTGTATCCATTGCCCCGCGGTACAGTTTTTCGTACACTGGTTCGAGGCCGCCAAGTATAGCGAATGTTTTAGGAAGATATTCGTAAAGACTATCGGCTAGTGCGCCTATCGTAAAGCTGTTATCGGAGTCCAATTCCATGTCGCGCAGGTTGAAATGAGTAGGCCACATTCCGGGAAGTTTCGTCCGGTTCTGCCAGTCGTCTAATACCTCTGTTACTCTATTAATCGCGTCATAGTACTTGTTGTCACCAGTCAGCTGTGTCAAGCGGGTGAATTCGAGGGACGACGAGGCGACGTTAGCTGACGGATCGTGGGTCCCAGCCAACTGTTTCCCCGTTTTGGCGTCTTGGAAGTCAAGCCAGAAGCCAGGCATACGGTTCGGGGTATCGTATGCCATATAGAGCATATCACCAAGCTCGACCGCTTTCTCCAACAGGGCCGTCTCCGTGCTCATGTCGTAGGCACCGAGCAACCCCCCGAGGTGCCGTATGGTGGTTTCGAAGTAATTGCAGGAGGTGTCCCGCGTCTTGGAATAGTCTATGGTGACGGCGGCGGCGGCGGCCTCGTAGAAATCGTCCTTGAGATCCATTATCCAAAGCGTCGATAGGGAATCGACGAGAGTGGCTCCCCATCCACCAAAGCCAGGCACGTCTTGGCCCTTTCCAGACACAGGCATGAGCTCGTCATATCCGAACCCGACGTTTTTATAGCTCTTCCAACTCTTCACGAACGCTTCCTTCACCTCGCTGCGCCGTGATGCCAGGACCGCCTCCCGCGCAACGCCCTCGGGGCTCTTGTCCTCCTCGAAATTATACTGGACGGGGGGCAGCGACCGGGGCCGGCCGGTCGGCAAGGGCGTGTATTCGGACACGGGATAGAATATCTTCTGCTTGGACCAGTCATAGCTCTGGCGGACGAAGATGAAGCCCCAGAGAACGTCGTGATTTTCGGGAACGAGGCCGACGAGCAGGTACAGCAGGACAGCCAGCACCAGTGCGACGGCGATGCGCGACTTGCGACGGAGGATCGGGGTCATGACGTCGAGTGGGTGGTTTCGAATCTGCCATGCGACATCTTCGGCGAGCATCGAGTTGGCCGCGGCCGGTCGCGGAATCCTTTGGAGCCGCGGCGCGCGCCTCTCGACGGTGTTCGTGTTCCTGCTCCTGTGCCTGTTCCTCCCACAGTGCCGTACCAGATACTTGGAGATGAATATTGCCGGTGCATCGATGCGGGATATTACTATTATTATGTTATGGGCGTTGTGAATAAAAAATAAGTGTACGGCGCTGTGACTGTGATCTCGTGGAATACGGCACGTATCTGCTGTAACAGCAGTGTAAGCGCATATAAAACGATGAAGCCAAGAAAGATAAGTCGGGATGGAGGAAGCCGGTTGGGTGGCCAAGACATGACAGACAGGGGGCCATGCCTGAGAATCCGTAGGTACCTACTTAGTACAGGGACAGTTATTATCTAGGTACACTGCAGCAGAGCTATACAGTACGGGTAGGTAGGTGGGATATCAAAAGATGATACAGAAAACTGCCATTGGGCCATTCTCCTTCATTTTCACACGATATTCTTCGCTCGCAATTATTCTCGTACATACCTACTGTAATAGGTCTTGGAATTATCTTGACAGTAGTAGCTCCGTTGCTACTGTAGTGTTATGCGGGGAATATACGGGGTTTCTTACGTGTACCTACCCCTGTGGATCATGGATAGATCGGTACGGGATTAACGGCGACAAGGGAGCTCGCTTATTGTTTGGTGTTCAAGAGCTTCCTTCCAAACCAAGGAATCTAAATACGGCCTTACAAAGATCGAGTGCATATTAGAGAGAATAAAGAACAAGAACACTATGTTGATTGGCCTAAACGAATAGGATGGGAAAGGAAACAACTAAAACGGGTAACGGTAGAATTAAATGAAAGATTGCTGGCTACACTTTCGCGGTCTGGTTGACCTACGAGTATAAGCTTGAATTTGAACCTTCTTTCATAAGTTACTGGGCGAATGGTCTAGGGGTATGATACTCCCTTCGCATCTTTAAAATCATTAGAATAATGTGACTGGGAGGGGTCCGGGGTTCAATTCCCCGTTCGTCCAATGCTAATTTTTTATATTTTTGTGGTGCTTAAGTCATTTAGACCAGGCGGCAAGTGGTGGGAGTGTATGTATGTATATGTTGTGTGCTGGGCAACATCGGGCGGATAAAAACACCAGAAGTCTTTGGGCCGGTTTGATTTTTAGCTAGCTGCTTTAAGGTCATGGAGAAAGCACCATGACTCGACCTAGCCTACCTAGATTTAATTGGCCACCAACATTCTGTGAGGGAGCTCGCTCGTATTTCTCTAATTCCCATCACTCCTTTCCCAATAAGATTTAAAAAAAAATTGACCCGAGACTAAATACTAAGATAAAAGCTCCTAAAAAGAGTAGCTAAGCTAACTGTACATTCGGCAAATATAGATAAATACCTTAAATGACGCACACACAGACGTATATACTCCATCGGCTATACATTGAAATGAGATAAGACCGACAATTAAATGCGAGGAAATGCATCGGCCGTGAATCGAACACGGGGCCCATCGATGGCAACGATGGATTTTACCACTAAAACCACTGATGCTGTTAAGACGATACGTCGAGATCTCGAGTATCCGTCGGTTGTGGAGTTCGATGGAGAGGAAGCAAGCCTAAGAATCATCGCCGGTTGTTGCACTAGTCTTGTAGGACCCTCACACTCGTTGGTGATTTCGGGGGGGACGTACCGAGATATCCGCCGTGAAATGATGATCTAGGTCTGTACGTACGTCAAGTGACAAAGCAATCGACGAATGTTTTGATCATATCTGGTTATAGGGGCGTGTGTGTGGTGAGCAATTATATTGTGACACACTAGCTACTTGGAATCTTGAGAGGACTATCCGACTGGGAAGGATGGGGTTTCATAGCGTGGACCTCAGACACCTCTCACAGATAACAAACCCAAGCGCCCTCGGCCCCGTAAAGCCCTCGTCGGTTTGATACGGTAGACTAACGCTATGGAATTGCGGCGTGAGGAAACCCATCGGGTATCAACTTCACAAGGGATGGTTCTACAATTGACTGGCCTTTGCATCTCTGTAGGCAAATAAGCGTCTCTCCGAGAAAAGGCGAAGGATGCAGGTGACAAAGTTGGACTAGCTTTAATAGCTAGTATCAAATTCAGATTAGTTTTCGAGCGATTGCGCGCCTAAGTCGTGCCCATACAGAAAGCGACTACGAGATCCCAAATCGCCCGTGGTGAATGATACGATGTTAGGCCGTCTAGGGATATGAGCAATGTGAATCAAATATTTGTGCATGCGGTGTGTATCTGCATCATCGCCGTAGCCTGAACCGCTTTAATCTCTCTAGAGTCTGCTTCCACGGGCTCGTATGTTGCTCCTCACTCTCTGCATTCTCTAGAACCCATCGCACAGCAGCGACGACTTCATCCAGACGATCTCGAATAACATGGTGTCCGCAATCCGGTAAATGCACGAATCGACTGTTCCTCGAGAGACCGAGCTGTCTGCGCTTGAGCCGCTCGTCCTCGGCGTCAACACATAGGAGCATTTCCCTCTCGGCCGCCAGTATTTGTCTCCGTGCTGCAATATCTCCCGTTTCAGCTTCGGAAGAGTTCACGGCGCTCCCGCTCTCCTCTAGCGCCTTCCATTTCGCAATCAGGCTGTTCCCCCTTATCACACATACGGGGCGATCCCCCATGATCGTGCGACGGATCTGCAGCTCGTCAAGCGCCGGGTCGAGGCCGCCTTCCTGTCCGGTCTCGGCAAGCACGAGGCCTAGCACCCGGTTCGCTGAGCTCTTCTTGTGCCGTACTCGTGAGAGCAGGCGTTCGTGCTGTATGAACGCGCGCGCGAAGGCGCCGCCGTAGGAGTGCGCAACAAGGAGATAGGGGCCGCCGAGCTTGGGCTCGTCGTGACTTCTGATGCCATCTCCGAGAGCCTCAGCCCCACGGACATAATCCCACATTTGCGCGGCGACGTCCGCAGCCCGTAAATTCCCTAGCTCGCGATTATAGAGCAATACGCGGCACTGCGTCTCCGCTACGAGTTTCGTGGCGAGGTCATCCCAAGCCGGCGAGCATGTCTCACCCGAGCCGTGAAAGCAAATAATTAGCGGGCTTCTAGCCCCTTCACTAGAGTCATGGTTATCCGTATATGCATCGTCGGGCAATAAAAGTCTGGGTGCAGAAACCCGAGTTGTAAGATGATCCTCAAGCAGTGAAAGTAAAGAGTTAGCCATAGCTCAACAGCCTACTGTAGCCATTCTATCGTATAGACCAAGTACCTTAGCGTTGATGCGTATCTTGTCAAACTGTGCGTGCGAAAGGCTGCTGTTCTTTATGGCGTTTGTAATTATCGGTAGTACTGGGGCGAAGGAAATTGCTTGACACATGGTCCTTGCTACAACGAGGATATTACGTTTAGGGACAACAAGACGCCAGAATGATGGTTTCCATTGCTTCGATTTCGTCCCTATTCAGTTTAAGGACGTCAAGGCTTGCGTAAACTGGGTTAGAGGGGTTTGCGAAGGCGAAGTACGCTATAGCTTACCTAATTTAGGGGCCCCTCTTCGAGGCTTATGGGCTTAAAAGGTACCTCCCTGTCCACGATCTCCCTGACACAGTCCCTAAGCTGATGACCAACCTGCGAAACACAACAGTAGTGCCTATGCGCACGGGCCAAACTCTTCCTAGAAAAGAAAGGTGTGTCGGACAGATGTACGTAGTCAGACCATTTAAAGAGTCGAGTATGTTGGATATCAGTACGAGAGCTTGACTGAAATGGGCTTCTTGGTCGATAATTACATGTCCCTCACGTCCCCAAGTAATCCACAGTTGCCTTGACACTTTCAGCGTGTGATTTCTGATGTATGATCTTTGAAGAACAGCGGGAGCTTGCACACAGAAGATCCTCGGTTCAATTCGCTTATCGAGCCTCGTTCTCTGATGAGCACATTTCTGAAACTTACTTCATAGGCCCAATTAACTAAAGCACTCTTGTCCTCCGGAACGCCCATTATTGCTACTTATACACCCTTGGTACAGTAAAACAGAGAAGGAGGCCACAATCTTGTTAAGAGATGAATTATAACAGGCAAAGGAGGAAACCCGGGTGGTGGAGAGAAGAAACTGGCATGCAGAATCTCGAGAGCATATACAACGCCTATAAGACTTACTACAGAACAGAACAGGAGGAAACAATAGTTGAAGAGCCAGCCACCCGTGGAATTTTGCCTCCCAACTAAATGGGGAGAAATATAATGAAGAAAGGAATTTTGATTCTCCCCTCTGCCGGTAACTCTGTAGATAGGACCAACCTAATACAACTTTAATTTTTAGCTTTGAACTTTACACCACCTACAACTAAAAAAAAAGCCGGAGTTAAGTCTAAGTGTTAGTTAAATATAAAATTTGGTTCATATAATAATTAAATCATTTTTATATAATAAACAAATCATTATTGTACAATAACCAAGTCATTTTTATTTAATTAGAGTTTTTTTCTTATTATTAGTTTATTTGTTAGTGAAGGTACGGGCTACAATGTATATGACTGCCTGCCCCTGACGGAGACTGCCTAGTTGCTCCATCATTTCTACAACATATTTTACCACCCACCTAATACAACACAATACATATTCTAAGATTAAGGAGGACCGCCGCCACCACCACCACCTTCAGGCCCGCTATTACCTGGTTCTTGCGAATATTGATTCTGTACTGTAGAGCCCGGCCCAGGTACCATGTTACCGAAGTTGTATTGCGGCTGTCCCTGGTAATACTGTCCTTGAGGAGTTTGCCCCTGAGGGGTCGGCCCCTGCGCATGTTGGGACTGTCCAGCGGGCGGGTATCCTTGACTCATACCCGGTCCTAGATTCCCCCAGTTCTGACCTTGACCTTGTGGGTTAGGCGGCTGCTGGTATCGCCTCGGGTCCATCCCCTGTTGATTTCCCGGGTGTGCGTACCCATGGCCCTGTGTGCTCTCATACCTCACGCCCGGCCCCATCTGCTGAAGATTGTATTGCCCGTATTGATGCTCCATGTTCGAGCCAACACCGCCTTGGTTTGTAAAGGGCTGGGACGGGTAGTGACTATTATAGTCATTGCTGTGCTCGGCTGATAGCGAGCTTGAGCGGTGGCTGTCCCTCATGCCCGCCGAGAAGCGGCTGGGTGTGGTTTGGTATGGCGTGTTGGACTTTGCGCGGAAGCCATAATCGATGGCACGGCGGTCGCCTTGGGTGCCGCGGACTACAGCACTTGGAGTCAGTTATCGCCATTTCGGGTGTCATTTGTGAGGATTTTACAAGCTTCTAGGTACTGTCTCGGTGCAAAATGGAAATTTGGTACTCTGGAATTTGCCGGGAACAAGAAGAAAATGGCTCCGAGAATTACTCACTGTCGCCGAGGTAGTGGCCGAAGTCGAGGTAGGCCGTCTGCACGAGTTGGAAGTGCTTGAGCTGAAGCTTCACCTCGACTTTCTTGTCTAGCTCGCTCTGGATCTTGCCGCCGTGCGCATCGAACTCGGCCAGCGCCAGCGCCGTCTGGCACGCGTTGCGGATCTGCCGCCCATTCCACCGGCTGTAGGGGTGCTCGCTGAAATGTTTCTTGGCAAAGTCTTCAATCGACGATGCGTCGTACGTGATCTTGCGCCCCTGCTTATCGAAGCGCTCTTGAATGAGGTCGAGATTGAGTTTGAAGACCTTTTTAGTCTTGGGCTCGTCGAGCTCGGGGTAGTACAGGCTCATGTGGATGCGAGAGGCAAACGCTTCGTCGAAGTCACCGATGCGGTTGGTGGTGAGGAAGAGAATGCCAGCGTAGTACTCTAGCACGCGTAGGAATACTAAATGGCAACTATGTCAATTGATGCCGTGGGGATGTTTGTGGCATGACGATTACCTGCGACCAGGCCATTCCGTTCAAAGTCCTTACGCTCGCGAGCAGACAGGAAGACATCGGCTTCGTCGAGGAGCAAAATGCATCCCCACCGACTTGCCAAGGCGAAGTTTTTCTCTAGTTCTTGCTCGACCTCTCGAGCAGTCGTTCCAAGGTCACCTACAGACAGTCAGTCTCAACGCTTCAGAGTTGAAGAGGACTCTGTTGAGTTACCGCAAGTTATCTGGAACAGTGGTTTCTGGAATAGCTCTGCTACACCTTCTACATGGACGTCAATAATTGATCGTTAAGTCTGGGTTGCATTGCTTCACGGACCAGCGGTCGTAGTTTTTCCAACGCCAGGAGCACCGTGGAGGAGCATGATAAGCCCCTTGCCTAGAATAATGCGGTTAGCAACGATGGGGGGAACGGGCAATTGGACGGTGATGAACCTACCTTTTCCTCTGACCAGGTCAGTCTGGTCGTTCTTTGTGAATGTAGTTTGTCTATCACGGAAATGCTGTGTGACTAGCGATTTGACCATCTCGCGGTGGCCGTCTGGAAGCTCCAGCCGGTCAAAAGCACCGAGTGCTGAGTTCCGAACATCGGTGTTTTCGTACTTCAAAAAGGTGAGGTCGAGTTGGGCTGCGAATATGAACACTGTCAGAGAGTAGCAAGTCTTACCGTTGAAGCTGAATAAACTTACC